AAAAAAAAAAAAAAAAAAAAAACACAGAAAGAAAAGAAAAGAAAAAAAAACTCCTCTGGTCGGCTCTGCAACTGGGCATGCTCAGTGTGGCAGGCGCTTCCGCGTGCGGGTTCCGCTCGCCGCGTTTTCCGAGCGGCCGCCGGGCGGACCTGGCGTGGGGCTGGAGACGGGGCCGCGGTCCGGCAAGGACGGGCTGGGCCGGGACGTCCGAGGTCAGTGTGTTGGCCGGGATTACGAGGCTTTTCCTCTCCACCGAAGCCTGGTTGTTTGTTTAGGGTCACTTTTCTAAGTCGCGTATCTCGGAAACAGGCAGGGCCATGCTGTACAGAGCAGAAAGTAATGTCCGGGTTTCCAGCGCCGACAGGCGGTCACCTCGGAGAGGGCAGGGTAACTGGGGTAGAGATCGAGGGCCGGTTGCGGGGAAGCCCTGAAACAGTTCGGCGCTAGTAAGGCCACGTTTCAGGCTGTAAAGCTCAAAGAAAAGGTGTGCACAGCTCACTCTGCCTAAACAGAAAGTTTACTTTCTTATAAAGACTGGCTCTATTCACCCCCGCTTTTTGATCGGCCTGGACGCAAAGAATGCAGCCATTAATTTTTCGAGTCCCTACAGGCAAATCGGATTATCCAGATCGGACCACAATGAAATAAATGGTCACCCCAAGAACACCTGCGCTTAAGGGACCGAGGAAATTCGGGGAGTTGTTTCAATGCTCGTTTTCCCTGCCGCCTTCTTACTGAGCTAGTGTATGTCCCAGCGCAGCCCTGTGACGTTGGCACTACCAGGCCTGGCTCCCAGCAGCCCTTCGCTGGTGCTCTTTTCTGCCTCCTCTAAGAGGGCTGAAGCTTAGGGGCGTGTCCTCAAGTGAGCATGCGCGGCATCGCCGCGGAGCGACACGGAGAATGCTCCCGCGCGATTGGATCGCTGAGACCCAGGACAGCCAATCAAAGGAGCAGGCGGAAGGCGCCGCGGAACGGTAAGACCAGAAGCTGTCTAAAAGTTTGCTCCACCCTCATCGTGTTTTACCTCTGCGGCTGGGTGGGCAGAAGATGCGTCCGAGTGACTATGGCCCAGCTGCCAACGCCTGGGGAGAAACTGTTAAGAACAAATGCCCCATCACCGCGGCTGCTTCATGTGAAACCGTCATCATCAGAAATAGACTTGAAGCAGACACTGCTCAACTAAGCGGCCAGCTCCTGGGACTGGGGAGGAAACTGACAGTTACAGAAGGAAAGCATAATTGCCCTGGGTGGAGCTAAAATTCCTTAACCCAAATTTTTCTCATTTTCATTAACTAGGATATTCCGTTTGGGTTTTCCTAAAGTCAGAGTTCTAAATTCGCGATGCGTTGTTTAGTTTAGTTCTAATGCTATCGAAATATGTTTCCAAATACATTGCTTAGATACTGATTTTAAAAAACATGTTTCCAAGCATTCAGGAATAACTATCCCATTCCCTACAATTAGAAAATTAGAAATCGTATACAATGTTTAGGCCACATACATGCTACAAGTATATTTCAATTTATTGGCACCAGTTATTGTATCCAAGAGTCAAGGAAAGATTTACCATTCTAATGGTAAGTAGATGACTCAAAGTTAAAACTGCTAATAATTTTTATTGGTTACTAAATAGAATCTTCTCTTACCAATTATTTCATTTTGCAGTTAATCTAACTTGCTAATTATGAAAACGATATGTTTTCTCAATTATCAGGACTCCTCACTGATCAATGTGAACCCTTTATTCATTTGTCCTCACATTCAGTGTAATACAATAATAACATTGCCTGAGTCTTACAGTAACTTTAAATGCCCCACACAATGCTAAATTCCCTTCCTTTAAGAAATATTTTAAAGAATGAGTTGAGATTCCCATTGGACAAATTGGGAATATGAGTTGTCGAAAAGAATGACAATAATTGAATAAAAATTTTAAAAGCATGCCTTCAGAGTGGCACTAAAAACAGAAGGAGAGAGGATGAAAGCTTTTCCATTCCAGAAATTGAGAGAATAAATGTGGGACAAATGATAGAATTAAAAAATCATTATTTTCCAAATCAATCACAATTGATTCAGGCAAAGTTCATCATAGGATGCTAAAAGCCACTAGGTGAAAGATCATAGGAGTACAGCATCTTCACATGGTCTCTAAATTTCAAGCCATAATATACTTATTACAAGTAAGTAAGAAAATGTAAAAAAAAATCACCCCCTTAAACAAATAACCAAAACTGGAATCACTAATAATGGAAATAATGAGACAATTTGATATTATGAACTTAATGTAATCCAATTACAAATAATTAACATCATCTAAGAAATATTTTTACCAAAATGATTTGACCTGCATTTAATCAAGTTTCAGAACAGTTCTTTTAAAAATTCTCCAGATTAAAGAGACTCAAAAGACATTACAACAAAATGCAATCTTGGATCTTAAGTGAGAAAGAGAGAGAGAGGAGAGACTGTGGTACTGTCCTTATACTTGGAAATTTATGCCAAAGCATTTATGGCTGAAAAGTTGTGACTATACCCTAGTTTCAAACGATTCAGAAAAAAAAAATGAAAAATATAGTAAAATATATAAAACAAACACACACAAATATGTATAAAAAGAGGGAAGGTAAATGGTAAAATATTAAAAATGATGAATGTAATTCAGATGCTTATGTATTTTTTAACTTCTCTAACTGAAATTTTTCAAAGTAAGTTAAGGAAAAAGTATGACTTGTACTAATTTCTTTTACATCAAAAAATTTTAATTGGAATCATGTTCTATATAGATAGGTTAATGCCATGGAAAATGGTAGCTGCTGAGTAGATGAAAAAATGAATTTCTATTTTTTAAAAAGAAATAATTGATTTACATAAAATGTAGTCTACAGTGAGCTTAGGGGAAACCCTAGGATAACTAAAGAGCTTTGTTAGATACAAGAGGACCAAAAAAAAGAGGAGTTACATTTATTTGCAGTGGTATAAATTGACAGAATAGAGAGAGAGAGATTCCATTTGCTTCTATTTTGCCCCTATTATTTCAGTAATAGGAAGTGGTTCTCAGATTGAAAAAAAGAAGAATATGGGTAAGTAGGAATAGCACAATAAAAAGTGAGATTATAAGAGTACCTACTCCCTCTGAGACACATTAAATTCTTTGACCTTAAGCCATTCACACCCAAGAGAAAACTGAAATAATCTGTGAATGACTTAGATGAGCCAATGTCAGGGAGCCCTGAAGAAATGTTGAGCTCATCTGGAAATTAGAAGCCTAGAAACAGGCAAAACAATTTTCAGTTTTTAGAAAGGAAAAAAAGCCTTCCAGAGGACCACAGAGAAAAGCAGGCAATCAAGGGGGTATTTACCTGAGCACATACTCCAAAATATCTACCACAGCTGAATTCTGCCTAACTATATAAATTAAAATTTTATTATATATTATATGTTAAATTACCCAGAGAAGCTGTAATTTAAAAGAATGCTAGTTGCGCACACAAAATGAATCATCATAATTTAATATGTATTCTAGATACATTCCAATTTTACCATAATCACTCTTATTTATATAAAAATCACTGACAGTCTCTTTCTAACAACTTGACAGCATGTACAAGTTTCAAAAGTATGCACAAGAGGAACTGACCAGTTTTGCTTTAACATCAAAAGTTAGGATGCATATATTTTTGTTATTTACTGCACTACAAACACTAAAATTTGTTATATTCTTTAAAGCCATTGAATTTAAAGCTGTCTGGCACAGCGATCCTATGCGTTTGGATCCACAACATGATCTGAAACAGTGTACAGGATCTGTTTTTAAAGAGGTGTGGAAAATGGACCCCCAAAATCTTTGTAGACTTTTGCTGTAATTTTCATACTTACTGAAATTTGCTAAGATTACTTCCTATATTTTCTCACTTTCCCCCAAAGTCTAACCATTTTACAAATCATGTATTTTCCTCAATGCTTGCCATTAACACCTGTCATAACATGAAGACCCCTCTTCAGACCTTCTTCAGAGCCCTGTCAATCACTGTCATTTGTCCTTGCTCTTTGGTATACTTAGCCACTTTTCAGCATAGTGATAAGACTTACCTAAACTAATTTGAATTAATTTTAGAACTAAAGTTTCACAAGAAAGAAAATATGTTTTATTCTTCACCTTTTTTTCAACTGATTTAACTCTTCCCTTTAAAGCAGTCAGTTAACTAATAAAATTCAATGTAAATAGCATGTCAGCTATATATTTTTTTCTAGCTATATTTCTTTACAGACTATTCCACTATCAATTTCTCTTAAAAAAATAATATCTATGTATATATGTGTATGTGTATATACATGTATATACATATGTATATACAGGAATCTTGTTACATTTTCATTTAAACCAGTAAACGGTAAAGCCAAGATTCCAGAATATTCTGCCTCAAAAGCACATGCATTTAGTTCTTAGCCTCATAAGAAACTGGAAAATGGAGGAATCCGACTGGAAAATGGAGGAATCCGTGACCACAAGAGGATGAAATGAATGTGCTGGCTTTATTCATGTTGAATCTAAAGTGGTTAGACATGCCACATATCAAGTAGAAATTTGGGCTGTAAATAGGTGAAGGGCAGATTTTGAGATACTGATTTTTGGAGTTATCTTCTTATAAGAGATTGTTAAAGCCTTATAAATGAACAGGCTTCTGAGGAATAATGTAGAAACTGCTAAGAGGCTCAAAGATTGAACCTAGAGAACAACCTCAGTAAATGGTAGGGGAAAGAGAAAGCAGGAAAAACTAGAACAGCTGTAGTCAAATTGCTACAAGATTTATGATGCTGAAAGGACAAATAATATAGATAGATTGTTTTAAAAAAATAACCTGAATTAAGTCAAAATGTATTTACTTGACAAACTGTAGATAGTGCTTTAGTAAAACAATAGTGAAATGTATATATATAGTCCCTAACTACACCAAACTAAAAAGTTTCTGTACAGCAAAGGGCACCATCAGTAGAACAAAAAGCCTTCTATGCTATGGGAGAATATATTTGTAAATGACATATCTGACAGGGCTTAACATCCAAAATATATAAAGAACTCACACACCTCAACACCCAAAAAGCAAATAACCCAATTAAAAAATGGGTGAAGTATATGAACAGATACTTCTCCAGAGAAGAAATTCAGATGGCCAACAGGCACATGGAAAGAGGCTCTACATCGCTAATTATC